TGCTTTGTGATTCATTTTATAATGATTCTGGGAACAAGGTCACATTTTTTGTTTATAATTAGTGGACGTTTTTCGATTTGGGGGGAGGTGCGTACGCACCCAACGCACCCCCCACCCCTGTATACAGGCCTGTATTGTGAATCTATTTGCAAAATGTTCTTAAAGATTTAGGCATACTCTCCCCTCAAAATGAATTAAAAAATCATATTGTTCATTTGCGGTATAAGCCAGGGACGGATTTAGAGTATTTTTCGCTGGGCCACGCCCGGACCCCCTAGGACAGTGTTGTCTCAATCGGCCCTACTTTCGGGTCCCTTTTAGCCCCCATCCCATTTGGATATCACTTGATCTGCCCCTGGTAACAATAAAATTATTAACTTTAGGTTGCAATGATCGCTCAGTCTGGCTGTCTGTCTGTGACGTTTATGTTTGTTTAACAGAATTTATCATGGTAAACTATTATAGAAGTCCATTGGTTTGCCAACCATAAATTACGCATGTTTTTTTTCTCTTTTGTGGGGTCGTCCCACTTTTATTTGTTCCATGATTTCTTTGAACATAAGTATTGTTTTGTTACTATTGACATATTTATCACTTATTTTAAATTAGTACTATTATTCTATTTCCTTTATACATTAATTTTTTTTTCCATTTCTAAACATTATACAATTTAAATACAATTATTTTTACTGTTAAGCGCATTGAGGCTTTAGCATAATGCGCTATATAAGCCAAAATTATTATTATTATTATTATTAATGGTGACGATGATGATAATAACAACAATAACAATAATAATGATAATAATAATAATAATTAACTTAGTCAATCATAGCAAATAGCTTATTTAACAATAGTGTTCTGTACATGCAATATTGAGGTCATATTACGTATACATAATCACACATATACATATCCATAATACTTACATACGCATATCTACACACATATACCCATACATACATACATATATAGAATTACTTTTTGTTTGATTTTTTTTTTTACTGAATATCCATCCAATAAATCAGTCAGTTAATACATCATATACATCCGATTTGAACTGTACGTTAAAATTTGTCTCTACCATTTTAAGGTTAATATTTGACCATTTTCTTTTTGCATTTTCTTTGTTAATTATAAATTCACATTCAATTAAAGCTTTTAGTTCGTTTAGGAACATTTTCCATGGGCATTTTATCTCCAACCCTAATCTTTTTAACATTTTACTTTTGTATATACAGAAGGTAAGCATAGAGATTATTTCGTTAACACGTTTTTTGATAATTTCCAAGAACGACTTTAGACCATTGAATTTTATCAGTCATTTTAAAACAAGATGCTAACATTATACTAACATTAGACCAACAAAGGTTTACATCTCTACATTTGAACAGCATGTGTTGTTCGTCTTCTATAACATTACAGGTTTCACGCATGTTAGTGTGGTTATGCAATGGCAAGACCCCTACAGAAAAGCTGGAAAACTTACAATACCAGATGGCTAAAATTATACTTAAAGCTCCCCGTAATGTTGCAAAAGAAGCTTTATATGGGGATTTAGGCTGGCAATCCATAGACTCCATCCAAAATAATTTTAGACTGTCATATTTTAACAGGTTAAAAAATATGGAATGAGATGGCCTCTGGGTTACTTTTGAAAGCAATCCTGCAAGTACAAAATGTTGTAAGATGGAAATGGCCATATGCAATCCAAAATATACTACAAAAATGTAAAATGTTAAATGTGTATAACATCGAAAACGATGATAGCTGGATAAAATCATGCAAAATAGAGAACAAAAAGACCAACGCTAAAGAGTGGTATGTAAGAGCAAAATCAAAGTCATCTCTTAGAGACTATTTTAAATAGGCCTATAAAGGAGAACCAAAATTTGAACCTTATCTTCTTGATAAAACAAATTTTAAATGAATCAATCATAAATTTAGGGCCCGATCCAACTCATTATACTTGAAGGAAGAAAATCATCTTGGTCAAATGATTTTCCTGATAAATGTAAAATATGAGATGATAATACTAAAGAAACTGTTGACCGTTTTATATTTGGATGCAACAGACTACAGATAATTAGAAATGATACTTTTAGAAATTAAAAAAAAAGAACTTTATTATTGAGGTCTCCAGTCTTTTTGGGGATGACTTTGAAAATGGTTCTATAGAATTTGAACATCTTGTTTTTAGATAATTTATATGAGAACAGGATATTGGGCGACATTTTTGGCCGTCATTGTAAACAATATCTCTGTGCTGCTTGGATTTGTAGAAGTAATATATACAAAGAATTATGCCTATCTTAATACCCCCGCTATAATGCTATTACTTAAAGGTATATTTAATTTAACCTTACTTA